TGATATATTATATTTTTCATTTTTTTACCATCATGTTTATATTAGCTAATATATTATTAAGATTTATTTTAATTGCATATTAAAATATTATAATCGATTGATTTTTAAAGATACTATTTTGATCATTTTATATTCTTATCGATTAGTTTTGTTAAAGATAATTTATTTATCATTAGCATCAACTGGTTTGTTAAAGAGAAGATTAAAAGATGGAAATAGATATGCAATGCATGAGTCTATATCCAATCATATTTAATATATAAAATATTCTTAAAATCCGTAGTTTTCTACCGGAAATGCTATTTATTAATATATTTGAATTAAAAAAATTAACCATCATGTATTTATTAGTATATATTTAGAAAGACAGAATTTTATGTATATTTGTTAATCTAAATCTCAGAAATCACATGAATAGTAAATTACAGCTTTTTCCTTCTTTTACATGTTGACGGTCGTTTGCTCTCGTAATTGCTTCTTGTTTTGATTAAATATAACAAAGTATATCCAGAAGAATAAAGACACAATTTGTACAGATAATTTTGAATTTGTTTTGGACAGAAAATATACAAAGAGAGGGATGACTTATTATGCAACTTTTTACATCTGTATAACCAATATAACTCAATCTTAACTGTTCATTTAATTTAATTAATATGTGATTTTATAAAAGTTTTTGATTGTTTACTAATATAAAATATTGATTATAATTAATGAAGTAATCTTACATAAATATTTAAATTATAATAAACGAACTTTCATCATTTTCATAAATATCTAAATTGATTGGGTTGTATAAATAACATGTTTGCATTTGAAATATACCCTATAGATATATATATATATGCGAACTTATTTAATTTCCTTTAAACAAGGTTTGGTTACAAGTTACTTGCATGAGACCCAACTTCTTAGCAAGCAAGCAAAGTATTCACATGTTCTTGCACCATATCCCACAACTTATTCATATGTTTCTCTTCAGTAAGCGTTGCACCAATTGCCACCCGAATCACGTAAATATTTTCGACCACCGCGTGTGTCATGTACACACTCCCCGTCCCGTTCAACGATTCCAACAGCTTCCGGTTCAACTGGTTTATGTCTTCTTCGTTGCTACTTTCACTCGATGGTGCAATTCTAAAACACACAGTAGCAAAGTTCCTAGGAACTACAACTTCAAATCTCTTGTCTCCGGACAGAAGTGCTTCAAAATGCTTGGCCATATTCACATGTCTTCTTATGAACTCTCTTAGTCCTGAAACTCCATAGCTTTTCATCACCATCCATAACTTCATTGACAGAAACCGTCGACTAAGAGTAATCTGCCAGTCTTTGTAGTCCACCACTTGCTTCGAATCAGTTGCTTTGTTCTTCAAGTATTCGGGATCAGTCGAAAGAGATTTTGTAAGGTCGGTGCGATCTTTAACCCAAAGACAACAACAACCTACAGAGGTCAACAACCATTTGTGAGCATTGAAACTGAAGGAGTTTGCACCTTCTATTCCATCAAGAAAATGACGGAATTCTGGTAATATGCATGCAGTTCCTGCGTAAGCAGCGTCAACATGAGACCATAGATTGAATTTCTTTGCAACTTCACACAAGATACCAATTGGGTCAGCTGCTGTTGTTTGTGTCGTTCCTACTGTGAGACATAAATACAATGGCACCAACCCTGCTCTAACATCTTCTTCGATAGTCRTCAACAACGCATCTGGGCACATCTGGAAATTCATGGACCTGGTTGTGCGGATAGCCCGGACATTGTTCGGACTGATCCCAACGATTTGGCTCGCCTTTTGGAGAGAACARTGTGTTTGATCGGAGCAGTACACTACAAGCTTCCCTAAGGTGTCTCCCCTATTATTCCCAATCTGGCTCAACTTTTTTTCTCTAGCAGCAACCAATGTGCATACGAAGCTCTCGCATGTAGTGCCATGCATCACACCCCCACCATCGCTAGAAAAGGAGAATGATTTAGGAAGTTGAAGAAGCTTCAAAAGCCACTCCATGACAACCATCTCTAGCTCGGTGGCAGCAGGAGATGCCAACCAGTTAAACCCTACTGTGTTAAAGCCTGTAAGTAGCATTTCGCCAAGAAAGTTTGCAGTGCTTCCATTAGATTGGAAGTAAGCAAAAAAACCTGGACTTTGCCAATGGGTTATTCCTGGAAGTATATGCTTTTGTACATCTTGCAATATAGCTTCAACAGGTTGAGGTTGGAATGGTGGTGAATCGGGCATAGTTTCTGTGAGAAAACCAGGTTTAACTTGGCTACAAACAGGATATTTCTCGATATTTGAGTAGTAATCTGCTAAGAAATCAACCACCAAATGGGCTTGCTTTCTAAATTGCTCATGGTCTAGAGGATTCAAGAACTCAT